GTGGTCGGGCTGGACTGGACCGTTGACCCAAAAGCAGCACGGTATATACACACACACACACACACACATACACATACACATACACATACACACACACTAACCAACAGGTTAAGTATTTGATAAGCGGAGCAGGAAACAGACGTTTGTTGACATAAATCCTGCAACCGGTGACAAAGCAGGGACGGGCGAGAGGTCACTAATGGTTAACCTGCTCCTCAGGAAAGACTCCAGCATGGTTTACGATATCTGCAGAGACTGGCTGAGATGAACTCAGCTTTAAGATTGTGTTTTGCTGTCTCACCATGACAGAGGACTTTGAGGCTGGAGCTGTATTTATTTAGACTTCATGCATAGACACACGTGTTCATGATCACATTCCATCGATATGTCTTTAGACTTTCTAACTCTATTTCTCTACCAAAGCTAACAGAAAGAATGAAAACAGTTCTCATTACACTGGTTGAACCCAGTCCATTTAAACCTCGTAACAACTCTGTCCTAGTTTACAGACGTATTCATGATCACATTCCATATATATCTCTTTAGACATTGAATCTTAAACACAGGCAGAAAAGCTAGTTTTGGTTGGAACTCAGATTGAATTTACAAGTTTGAAAAAGCTAACGGGCACTGGAGTTAGTGGTGTGTGTGTGTGTGTGTGTGTGTGTGTGTGTGTGTGTGTGTGTGTGTGTGTGTGTGTGTGTGTGTGTGTGTGTGTGTGTGAGCTGTCACAATGTTTGTGTGATGATGTAACAATATAACAATGAAAAATGTGCGTGTGTGTGTGTCCTAGCATTACTATCTTTGTGGGGACCTACATCTGTTTACACAGTCACGTGTGGGGACTCGCCTCCCTTATGGGGACAAAATGGAGGTCCCCATGAGGGGAATCATTAATGTTAGGGTGAAGACTTGGTTAGGATAAGTCTCCAGGAAATGCATGTAAGTCAATGTGATGTATACATGGTATGTGTGTGTGTGTGTTCATTCAGGGAGCGCACAGGAGGGAAGGTCAGCCTGCAGGGAAACATGGACCCTTGTGCTCTCTACGCTCCCAAGGTAACCCCCACCCCCACTCGGTGTCTCATAGACAGAGACCTAACTGTTTTATGACTTTATTTTGAAAAGACAAAACACAGTAACACTGCAGTCCCTCTGAAAGGAGATAATTAAAAGGCATTGCATTAAATGAATGTAAGAAATAACAGAGTTAAACACAGATATAAGACATACTGTAAATATACAAATATTACAGTGAATGAATTAGTATAACATATATATTTCAGTAGCAACCCAGAAAAAGAGGGTCAGGTGGTCATCATCCTGCTCTTTCTCCTAATGAATGTATCGTGTTGCTCTGGCAAAACACCAATCTTTGGTCCTTATGCAAATACATTTTTGGTTTTTTATAACTTTATAATATGTCATAAAACATGCATAACTGAGGTCTGTCTGTATAGGGTTCAGCGTTAATTGCCATTTATGGGTCCAGAGTAGAGTCATATTATTGTTTTGTGATAAAACATGAAAATAACAAAACCCTGTTGTCTTCTAAACTTTTCTCAAGTTTCATCTGTTGCTATTGTCAGCACCTGCCAACATGCTGTGAATCTTATTTATATTCACGCATAAATGCTGATATTCATCCTGAAAAACTTCCGTTAACAAATAACTTGTTGCTAGAAGTTCCTAAACTTGCTCCTCTTCCAAAGAATATCTCAACTATTACAGATATTCTCCAGCTGGGGTTGAATCACGCCTGATTATAAAATCCCCCTTCTCTTCATCAGGAGCACATTTCAAAGATTGTGAAGAAGATGCTGGAGGGTTTCGGGACGAGGGGCTACATCGCCAACCTGGGCCACGGCCTCTACCCCGACATGGACCCCGAGAACGTGGGTGCCTTTGTGGAAGCTGTGCACACACACTCTAAACAGATAAACAAACGGATGTAAAGGTGGATGTGTATGTGATGAAGTGTGTAAGCCAATACGGCATTACTTCATTAAAAACTGTTTCAGCTTTATCTGTTGAATAATCCATCCCGAGAGACTTTCATGGAGGGGAAATAAAAACAACGATAACCTCAAATGAATAAAATAAACGAGATGTTGGTTTCCTAAAACAAGATGTTCTGTTCTATGTTGATCTGACCAGGAGTGGATTATGTTTTTCTATTTGAAATGGCGGCAATCCATTTTGCAAGTGCATGTACGTTACACATGTCAGTTGTTTGGGATTTGAACTCATATATGATTTATTTAAACATGTTCAAAACGGATTTATGTCCTATATGAAAGCTATTTCTTTGATATATTTTTTCCATAATGTCACTCATACAATTTGAGGCTACCCTTTATAACCTTTTTAAAAGCTGTAAACATCTTTAATAAAAAACGGAGTTCTTCATCAGTAACAGTAGCTTCTTTGTCCTTAAAGAAACAAAAAGGGTCCAAACTGAATTTAAAAACAGGAAAGGATTTGGAAGAGTTGTTTCAGCAGGAGATGCTTTATTTCAGTCCTACCATATTTTGTGGGGAAAATGTCAGCGCACAGCGGGTTGATCGTTCCACCATCGAACATCTTAACAGTAAACAAAGTGCCCCGCTGGATCCCAGCATGAAAAGCTTTATATTTGCTCCCGCAGATCTTTTAAGAAATGCAAGTTGTGTAAGAAAATGCCTTGCGCTGTCTTTGTTTTTCAGCCAAATCAGTTTTTTTCTCAACTTTTGTCTTCGAAGCCCAGAGGCTGCATGTGATTGTATTTCTCCAGATTATTGAAACCCATAAATGTGTGTCTGGCTGTTTTTCGTTCTGTCCACTTTAATAGAGACTGACTTACATTTTGAGAATAGTATTGTCTTTTTTAAAAGTGATTAGATTTTCTTTCCCCCAGGCTTTGAGAAGGATGGCTGTCGACTCATCTTCATGAGCTTAAACGGGGACAGATTGATTATGAGGTTTAAATGCTCTGGGTACAACAAGGGTGATGAGTAACATTTGCAAGGACTTTTACTTGTAACAGAGTATTCCTACACTCTGTTACTTCTAATTTTACTCAAGGACAAGATCTGAGTACTTCATCCACCTCTGGTCTGAAATCCTTCAAATGCTTTGTAGTGAAGGTCTTAATAAGTAAAAGCACAAGGTGACAACATTAAATATAGTAACTTGGATTTAAAACGTATTTTCTTTCAAAAACAAAGATTGGAGGTTACTCTGTTACCAACAACAGTGAACTGAACGTTTGTGAGTTGCATTGCAGTTTTTGAAAAAAGAAGAATGTATTGAATAATTAAAAAAAAAACACTGTCGGCCATTTCCATTTTTTATCTTTTTTTAACTGTCCATTGTATGTCTGCCTTTAGAGGACTCTCTCAAAAAGATTGTGTGCCCCTTGGAATACATGTCTTTTTTTGAAAATAGTGTTGAATGAGCAACCACCATCATTTCTCAACGATTCAAGCGGCTATAACCTTGGTCTAAAGTATGTTTGGTATTGTTGATTGTAATGCTATTTCTATAACTAAACCGATTCTCATTCAATCACTTAAGTGTGAAAAAAATAATATATATTTTCCCTCTCTGATTTGACCTTCCATCTTCTCTACTAAGTCACCGTTTTCAAATCCAAAAACCAACCTTTTACATTTGAAATATTTTTGCTGCATGAATGTGGAAATCTGAGTTTTTTTTCAACTTGATCATCTGACTAAAACCTCTAAAGTGCTACAGCAGCAATGGGTAGACATTACCTTAATAAAGAATTACCGGTAAGCACTTGAAAATATTCAAAGGTCATTTCCGCAAAAGCAGGGGAGTTAAAGTCTCGCATCATCTTCACCAATCACAACTCATTTGACCAAACCATTACCCTACAACCACCAATGAGATCAGTGGCGGATTTAGGATTGTAGGAGATTCGGGGCTGAGCCCAGGAGTTGTTGGGGGGTGCAGGGGTAAAGTGCAATTTTTTTACAAGTGGGGGATGGACCGAACATCCTTTAGGGGGGTCGTCGCCTCCTTTAGGGGGGTCCGGGGGCATGCTCCCCCGGGAAGA